AAGTCCACCCACCCAGCCACTTCGCTGCTTTAAGCCCCTCCCTTATCTTCTTAGCCCCGCCCCACCTGCTTTCTAACTACCATGCCCTCAGTCTGGCACCCGCCCTTTGCTGTTCCTGCCTCACTCCCGGATTATTCCGAAAGCTCTGCCCTTGACCCCATCCCTCCCTGACCCCCGCAGGCTCCTGCCACCGGCGCAGGATGGTTTCGAGGTCCTGGGCGCAGCGGAGCTGGAAGCAGTACGAGAGGCCTTTGAGACTGGTGGCCTGGAGGCGGCGCTGTCGTGGGTGCGTGCAGGCTTGGAGCGCCTGGGCAGCGCGCGCCTGGATCTGGCTGTGGCCGGCACTGCTGACATGGGCCTTGTCCTGAACGTGCTGCTGGGATTGGATCCTGGCGACCCAGGTGCTGTGCCTGCTTCAGTGCCCACGAAGCCCACTCCCTTCCCAGCCCCAGAGCGCCCCAATGTGGTGCTCTGGACCGTGCCTCTGGGCCCTGCGGGCACTACCAGTGTCGTCTCTCACCCGACGCACTACGACGCCCTCATCCTGGTCACCCCTGGGGCCCCCACCGAGAAGGACTGGGCCCAGGTCCGGGCCTTGGTGCCACCAGATGCGCCACTTGTCTGCGTGAGAACAGACGGCGAGGGCAAGGATCCAGAGCCTCTGGAAGACGAGGACGCGGCGGAGAAGCCCAGCAGCAAGAGCTCAGAGCACACAGGCCGAGGGGGGTCGGGGAGTGCGCTCAGTGAGGGAAGGGAGAAACGTGGCACTGGATTGCAGAAAGCAGGCAGCGGCGAAGGCTCTGAGAAAGCTGTCAGCGGGAGTGTGCAGCAGATTGTCGTTGCCGCAAAGAAGTCAGGCAGTGGGGACGCAGCTCCCGCAGCAGCGTTGAGCCCGGAGGATGAGACGTGGGAGGTGCTTGAGGAGTCGCCGCCGCCAGTGTTCCCTCTGCGTGCGAGCGGGCTCCCGGGGCTGTGCGAATGGCTGCAGGGAGCGCTCCCCCCAGCCCAGGCGGGGGCGCTGTTGCTGGCGCTGCCACCGGCGTCTATCAGTGCAGCCCGGAAGAAGGCTGCGGCGCTCCGGGCCGGCGCATGGAGGCCGGCTCTGCTGGCTAGCCTGGCGGCGGCAGCGGCACCAGTTCCAGGACTGGGCTGGGCATGTGACGTGGCCCTTCTGCGGGGTCAGCTGGCAGAGTGGCGGCGGGCAATGGGGCTGGAACCCGGGGCGCTGGCCCGACGTGAGCGTGCCCTAGGCCTGGCTCCTGGGGAGCTGGCAGCGCGTGCGCGTTTCCCAGGCCCAGTGACACGCACGGAGGTGGAAGCCAGGCTGGGTGCCTGGGCTGGAGAGGGCACTGCGGGGGGCGCAGCCCTAGGCGCACTCTCCTTCCTGTGGCCTGCGGGCGGCGCGGCAGCGACAGGTGGCCTGGGCTACCGCGCCGCTCACGGTGTCCTCTTGCAGGCGCTGGAGGAGATGCTGGCAGATGCTGAGGCGGTGCTGGCACCTCCTGAGCCCGCCCAGTGAGAGGTGGGATGGGGGCCGGGCTTCCCCAAGTCCCACTTAGAGGGGAGGAGGCTTGGGAGTCCAGACTCTGGCGTGGGAAGTCCAGGCCTCTGAGATAACAGTGGGGAGCCGCTACTCAGAATCCTGGGTGCTTGAAGGGGATGTGGCTCTGACTTGGTTGGCATGTGTGGCTTCTAATCAGCCGGATTCGTGGTTCCTGAAGGGGAGTAGTTTGGGGGAGAGGACTCCTGACTTCGCTGAGAACCAGGGGACATGACATCCAGTCTCTTGTGTCCTGAAGGGAGTTGGCCTGAACTCTAGAAGTGGGTATGTCTTCGTCGCATAGAGAATAGAAACAGGTTATTGGATGTCTAGTCCTCAGCAGAGAGAGGGCTGAAGCCCTGTTTCCTAATGGGGGGGGGGTTGTCCATCACTAGGACCTGAACCCCAGTATGGGGGAAAAAGCCTGCACACAGCCTCCCAGGTCCCCAAGGGGCAGTAGTTTTTGAATCTTTATTGAGGGGTCTCGAGGATTTCAGATTCCTGCCTCCCAAGAAGGCTGTGAATCTTGGTTCCTAGTTCTTGGGTGGTGGGAGAGGTCTGCATCTGGAGGAGACATCAAGGGGCTTGTGGGGAAATGCTGGAGACCTCTTGATTTCTCTTGGAGGGTAGAAGGATGTCCACTGTTCTCCAGGGGTTTGGTTGTGGGGAGGGTGGTCCCACAAAAATGAGAGGGACTAAGAGTTCTGGGCATGGTGGGCTCCGGGGTTGCCAGGGACCAGGACCGAGGCTTTCTGGGTGTGGAAGGGCAGGAAACCGTACCTCAGAAATTATCTCCCACAAACCTTATATTTGGATCCTGACAACTGCCTCTCTGTGAGTTTGGGAAAAGATATGACCACCTTCATTTTATAGGTGCTGGGTGATCATGGGTCTCTGGGGAATATGTTCCTCTGTCCCTCTTTCCTTTGGGTGTTTCTAGCTTTTAATCTTGGTTTCTAATGTCATTAAATCATAACCCATTCTGGCCTTGGTGTTTTGTGCACCTGCCTTTTTGGAAAAGCAGCTGTACTGCTGCACTAGTCCAAACATTTCTGTGTGGCTACCTCAGGTGTCCACAAGAGGCTTTGCCTTCTAGTATACACAGTGGGTGCTGCAGTGAGCAAGGGTCCCACAGAATGGCTGGGCAGGCATTCCAGCCCATAGGAATGTGCCAGAAGTGAGGCAAAGGTGGAAACCGCAGCACCTGGAATGTTCTAGGCTGCCAGCTCCATGTAGGGTAAAAGCTGCAGGTTATGGAATTCTTCAGTGTCAAAAACAGAAAAGCAGGACCTGAGATGCCATGGAATAGAATTTCTTTTGTAATAGGTGGGGTAAGCTAAGTCCAGAGAGGGTAGGCTTGAGACCTAACAGCGCATAGCAAGGCCCTATGGATCTGGCCCCTGTCTCTCTGTTCTCATCCCCTGCCCCTTCCCATCCCCAACCAGCCTGATGGGTCTTCCTTCTCCTGCTTGAGTGGGCCACCTTGAGTCCTGCCTCAGGACCTTTGCACTTGCTGTTCTCTTTCCTACAGTGCTCTACCCTCACAACCTCCCAGGATTGGCTCCTTGGCAATCAGATCTTAGCTCAAATATCCCCTCAGAGATGCCTTCCCCGATCACCCTAACTGAAATAGCTCATATACATCCCCATCCCCATTGTTCATGTGGCCAGCTGATTTTCTTTCTGGCAATTATTGTCCTAAAAAATGACCTTATTTATTTATTTACCTATTTATTGGTTATTGACCCCTTGCCCGTCTTCTCTGGTGTACTCCCAGCACCTAGAACAGTAGGTGCCTGACACATAATAGGTGCTTAGTAAATATTTATTATTTTAATTCATTGATCAGTGGCAGAATCGGACTGGAATTTAGATTGTCAGCCTCTTACCACGATCGGAAAAAGGAGCGAGATGGGGAGAAACAGACATTTAGTGGGAGAGAATGCCCGTCTGAGGTCAAGGAGCAGGCATGGCTTTGCTGCTGTCACCCCGTGCAACTTGGATCAGTGCCTTATTTTCCCATCTGTGAAATGAAAGGGCTGGACAAGAACCATAAATTCTTCTAAGATCCTATTTCCCTTGACAGCTGAAGACCAGGGTAACTAATCCGAGGGGCAGATACCTGAGGGACAATGGTACCCCCATGTCCAGCTTGAACTCCTGCCACCGACACGGTTTGTCCCATCAAAGTTGAGATAGCATTTGGCTCCCTGAGTGGCTCCAGGGACACTGTCCTCGTTGCTCACTCAGCCTTAGGGGACTGGTATCATCCATATCTGTAAAACCCAGCACACCCCTCTGTCCACCCCTCTCCCCAGTCTAGCATTCAAGCCCCTCAGTCCA